AAACCGCAGCTGTCAATAATTATCTAACCTTGTATTATTGAATCATGCTGCATGAACTATGAAGAAGATGAATAAACAATTTTTAACTGTGAAAAACAGGTTATTTATTTATCAATAAACCTAAATCGAAAGACAAAACGACTCAAAGTCATTTATTTGAAATATTATTTCGCAAAGTAATATAAGCAAAATTTAATGAAAAAAATTGAAAACTGTTGGGTATCGATAAACTAATTATGGGTTGACACAGAATGAAATGAATTAAGTGAATTAAAAAAACATTTTTTATTTCATAAGTAACACTTGCGTTTTTCATTAGTTTTCATGTATCGCAGTGCAATTCCACGCACACGAGTAGACCTTTTTCGACCACTCGCACAAAAGTGGTGTCACCACATATGGCTTCGTATGCGGTAGAGGGTTAAGCTGCTTTTGCACGAGTTGTTTTTGTAGCGGCTACACGAGTCGAATTGTTTAACGACTTTTTCAGCCGATTTTCCATTCGACAGAAATCGACCGGTGTAAAGACTTTATTTATAACATCAACTAAATTTTTCTATAAAATTAATAAAATAAAATTTTCAAATTTTTAGCTTGCTGCCATGGCAACCGTGTGCATTTTATTGTTGTGAATTTACAAATGCAACGAATATGCAAATCCAAGAGCATTTGCACAAGATCCTGAACAGCCCTAGTATTATTTACTTTACTCCGGTATATTTTCTCACAGGCACGTCAAAAGGGGGAAAATATCTGAATCATAACTTGTTCTTATTTTTGTACAATTTGATTTTGAAACCATTTCAATAACAATTTTTCCGAACATTTGCGTCGCTTTGCGAATATTTTGCAGAATACCTGTTACTATTGGCTAGTGCTGAACGTTCCTTCAGTGTGATTGCCGTAAGAGCGTTCCAGCTTTTCCACGCAATTCACTGTCAAATTGAGAAAGAGACATTTTATTTCGATGTGTGAACAGCCAGAAAGACCTTTCTGTCACATTTCGGAAATCAGCTTCAGAAATAAAAGTTGCAAGAAATACATTTCAACTCGCTCGTGCTGCACTAGCAATCTGCAATTCGCCTTTCGGTCGGGGTCCGAGTTTTCTCTCGGCAGTCCTACTTTCGCACTATAACTGAATTTTTTACTCACTAGTATTTTTTTAGTTGTGTACGATGAGAATTACAACATATACTTTTTTTAATGAAAATCACTGTTTGAAGAAATTTATTTATTTACATTCAAGCACTGCAAAATGGACTTTGGACTGATTTGTCGGCAAATTGAAAGGAACAAAAGCCATGCGACACACAAACATATGCTGTCACAATTTTTGAGTATTTTTTTAAATTAATTTTTGCCGTTGTTATGGAACATTTAGTTGACCCCGCCAAATTGACTGGGCATAAGAGGGTTAATTATTTCCTTCTAAGCGAAAAAAGTTATTTTAGAATTTCATACATATTTACATAGCACGCATCATATCTACAATTAAATTTGTATGTAAGTAAGTATAACCCTTATTCTTCCAACAACCACATCTTCATTTAAACTCTTGCTTTTATGCAATGCGGAAGCCGGTTATATAACAAAGAGATTGGAGCAACTACTATTATCCAATTTTGTTTCTGGCCTGAATTCCCTCAGAAACGTGCCCAATCGTGCCTTTTCCAGCAATCACTTTACACTCAATGAAATTGAGTTAAACTAGGCCAACAAGTGGTCAAATTAGGTGAGCAAGTGCCCCTTCAATGATATTCGCGGAGGAACGCTTTGGGTTAGCTGAACACTAGTAATGAGTTTTTATTTCCTGCTAATGCGGTCATTTAATTTAATTTACTCCATCTAAAGTTGAACTTTTGGTTTTTTACTAAAGTCATTGGGAAGCGGCGAAAGGTACGCAAAATAAACGGTTCTACGTGACCACTTGGCGGAATCCCTTTACATTAGACGCGATCACAGAGCTGTTTGTGGGTAGCTAAAGAGTGGCTGAACGGTAGCTTGCATTTGGTTTAACGTTTTCAAAGTGCCTGGCTTACTTTTGAATTTTTGGATGTAAGTGCAATTTTGTATAAAAGACCATCTCCATCTCCGAAACAATTCAGTGTGCGACTTGCATTTACTTAACCAGCAAGCTAAGCTTAAACGTAAAACAAGCTTAAAATTTTAAAGTTCTTATCAAAGCAAATTGGCAAGAATTAAGCAGCTCGTAAACGGTTTCCAACTCGAAATGTGCACTAAATTTTGGGTGAGTATGAATTAAAATTAAATAGGTTCCTTGAATTAAATGTATTTGCTCCACAGCCCATTTTTGCCTTCCTCCTGCTCGCAGCTGCTATTTCGGCTACTAGCGCCGGCGAGTCGAGTATTGAGCAAAATAACTCCGCAACTGAAAAGCCTATAGCAAAACGCAGTTTAACTGGATATGGCGGCGACTCAGGGCAGACGGTTGCCATTAGCGCTAGTCCTTGGTTAGGCGGCAGCAGTGGATCACATTTCAGCGGCGGTTTCAACGCCTTAGCTGTCAGTGGCTGGAATCCCTGGAATAGCTTGTAAGGCAGCAACACAGATTGCCCGTTTTTTTTTAATCTACTTTTTCGATTTTATTATGCATATTATTTTTTTTTGTCTAGTACCTCTCGCCATTCCTCGGCACCCTCACCCAGCGAGGTGGCTAACGCCATTTCTTCTGCAAAGCAAGCATCCGCCAATGTTCTCATTGCGCAGCAACAAATGCAGGCGGCCAAAGAGAATGTGCTGAATCAACAACGCATTGCTATGGAAAAGGAAACTGCTGCCGCCATACTCACCCAGAAGTCAGAGGCTGCCGCTGCAATACAGCGCTCCGAAGCAGCGGCTGCCGCACAAGCGGTGTTGTTAGCGCAACAACGTTTGGCCGCCTCAAAGTCAGCCGTGGCACATCAGCAACGTATCGCCGCCGCACGTGAGGCGGAAGCAGCAGCGGCCTTGCAGCGTTCAGCACATGCTGCTGCAGCTGAAATACAAAAAACCGAATATGAAGCATCCAAGTTGAGCCAATACACACGCAATGGGAATGCCGGGGCAGCACATCATCTCACCTTGACCAAGGATGTAGCATTCAGTCCGATTACGGCCGGCACCAATCATGTACCCAACGTGGAGACAGTCGGTCCGTGGGCGGGCAGTGGTGGCAAGGGTGCGGCTGGTGGCGGCGCGGCTGCTGGTTGGCTGTAATTACAGTTGCAATATTTTTTGAATTTTTACCATTTATGTAAAATTATTGTTTTATATGAACTACTGCAATAAAGCAACACGTTGCTATTAAAAAATATTCGCTTTTACTAACTTATTTAATTAATATTTACATAAAAAAAATGAACTGTGCGTCGGCCGGGAATCGAACCCGGATCAACTGCTTGGAAGGCAACTATGCTAACCATTACACCACCGACGCACGTACTTATCCGGTGTCAAAGTGTTTATTTGAAATAGAGGAATATTTGTTCGGAACAGAGTGACTCGGCAGTAAATAAAATTTTTGTGAACAACAATTTTTGCGCTTCTCTTATTATTTAAAATAGCGTACTAAAAATGTGTAAATAAGAAAAATGCGTAATCATGTTATTTATAGTTTTGGCGATTGCTGAGGGCATGCATATACATAGTATGTATATATTTTGTGTGGTATACGGGGTACTAGTGAAGTATATAAAAAAAAAATTATATGAAGCACCCTGTGTTAAATATTCCAAAAACTCTATGTGACCCTGCTCTAATATGAATTTGAGCACAAAACGTGCACGTGCGTCGGTGGTGTAATGGTTAGCATAGTTGCCTTCCAAGCAGTTGATCCGGGTTCGATTCCCGGCCGACGCACACTCGATTTTTTTTTGCAAACCATCTTTTTTTTTGTTTTGTTTATTTACTACTTTCAAGCAAATTTTTAAAGTACACACGCATACAAATATTAAATACGATAGAAGCATTCACTTGGCAATATAAAAACATTTGAATGCATGTATGTGGGAATTAGTTGCGGTTGCAGTGCTCAAGCTCTACTCGGGAGGTCACGCAAAGTGAAGATGAATTAGTTAGTTTTAATCGCTTGCAATGTAACTAATTACGGAAATTTGACAGTTCCAGCCTTCCGCCGAGTAGTGTATTAGTCAAAATGGCGTTTTTTATTGAAAGTGAAGCAGGAAATAAATGCGCGTCGTCTTTGATTTCCGATTTTTTTTAAGTTTATCATTCTTTATAATGAATTATTTTGGTTTTTGTGCACATAAGTGCTTATAAACGTATGCAAAATTATTATTGATAACAGTGAAAAAGATATCTTCACTTTTGCAAAGCACACATGATGGATGAGTGCGGTAAATGAGATGTAAAGTCCTCATCGGCTTTTGTAGAAATTTGCATGTTTATTTTCAATTTAAAAGTATTAAGAAATAAATTCTTTATGTGTGCTTTAAAGCGTATGAAAACTTATCTCAAATGCAGGCATTGCATAAAAAAAAAAACTTTAAATTAGCAATAGTAATGAAGTTTGAATGAAATCAAGTCCTGTTCATTTGCGATTCGTTGGGATTTGTGACAAAATAGCGGCAAATGCGAAAAATGTAGCTTTAAAATATACAGCTCCAATTTAAATTTGTTAATTAGACGACTAATAATTACGCATTGCATACCAAAGTGTAAATATTATCACACCTTCTGATAATTGTAGTAACTAAGAACGAAGTGTGTGCTGTAAATACCATGATAAAAAAATAGGAAGGTAGAACCGCTGAGAGGAATTTTTCAAATTCTTGACGTTTGTAAACAATTTAATTTTAAAATTTTAAACACAAACTCACACACACATTCTCATTTTCAATCTCAAACAACAAAAACTTTGAACAATTCCTTTTTTTTACTCTCAATTTTATACGATTTTAAAATGTTGGCAAACTTCAAAAAAAAATCATGGCCGACGCATTGAGAGAACGGTTTTACCTTACTATGCTTTTATCATGGTAAATACTATTATTAAATACTTTAATTTTTTTTTTTTGAGAAAAAACTTGAAGTGAAAAGTATTAATAATACCTATTTATATACATATGTATGTATCACAAGTATAGTGGCATCACAAACAAAAACTATGGAAATTCTTTTGAAACATCATAAGCGACTGCTTCTTTTGCAGGTGAGTCTGTTTTAATTACTTTTCCGATTTTGGCAATAACGAATTATTTTGGAAGTTATGTATATATACGGTGACCATCCGTTCTGTTTTTTACAGGACCGTACTGTTTTTCAAAGCTCGGTCCTGCGTAGTTTCTCTAACCTAAAAAACCTGAAAATGTACTGATTTTTTCAAAGTGTCCTGCATTTGTCCCGCATTATATTCGTTATTTTAAAATTATCGGACAATGGATGGATTTTTTCAAAAAAGTGTTTTTTGGTACTTTAAGTAGCTTTTCTTCATATCTCATGAGGGTATTGATATGCTTCTTACCAAAATATATAACTTGTGGCGACTTCAATGAAAATTATTAATGCTACAGGCGACCATTTGCATTTTGTCGTCAAAGTCGGAAAAGTGAGATTTTCAATCAAATACGCAGTTTCATTTGATTATTTTTTTTCATTATTTTAAAAATTCGATAAAGAATATATATCATTACAGTAAATTTTGAGCCAAAGATAATGAAAATCGGATTAGATATGTAGATGCTATGGGGCGCAATCTGCACAAATTATATATTTTTGTAAAGGGCACTTTGTAACTCGTCGTTTACGTCGATTCCTGACGTCGATTTTTGACAAATAACTGACAAATAAGTACCAAAAAACTCAAAATTTGACTATAAAATCATCTTTTAAAGATTTTCACTCTTCGTGTAAGCTATTGTAATTATAATATGTTTTACTATACTTTCATAAATATTTATGTAAAAAAAGATTAATATCGATGAAAAAAACGTGATTCATTTTTTAAGTTTAAAATGTATTAAGAATTTAGAATCATATATACTCTTTTGACATTTTTATACTACGTAAATAAATTGTCCTTCATTTTAAATCCATATTTATGGTCACCGTATGTATATACCAAGTATCGGACCATAAAATAAGCATTTCCTTTGAGTTTGTTATACTTAGGGCTTTTTCTGAATGAAATAGTACTTTTCAAGTTTATGTAATACTCAATACAAAGTGTTTAACATCTCATTGAGAAATGGACTTTAAGCTATTTCTTATGATTGCTATCTTCAAATTTAGGGATTTTTGTTACATAAAGCGATTTACAATACCATAAAAACTAAAGTTCGAAGTTCGGAATTTCTCCAAAATCCTGGGTTTTAATAAACACTGAAACTTATTTATTGATGTAGTAGTTTTCATATTCTAATAGACCTTTAGTGAGCAATCTACTGTTCAAAGCTAAAAGGCAAATATTTGTGCATTCACACGATTCGGATACGATTTGCTCCGAATTTTGAGAAAATGTTCAATCGTGTGAAACTGTCTTTAGAGCAGGTTATATTGCCATGTTAAGTATACACCTTTATAAATATATATTGATGTATGTATGTACGTCTGTAAATACAGTATAACCGCAAAACCGCATGTACGTTCGATATTAATCTAATGCCGAGTTTCTACTTGACAAAAAATGTGTGTGTAATTTTAAAGATTAAAATTGAGTAATTACTATATTTATTAACGTAAAGGGACGTGTATTTTTTCATGTCAAATTTCGTCATCAAAAGTGTTGAAACTTAAAACAAGCTTACGCCGAAATTGCTCTGCTTGCCAAAAACCAATCGAAGAAAATAAAACCAATTCGTTTTCAATATATTTTCTTGCAACATTTTACTCGTAACACTACAATTTATTAGAAATCGTTCCAATTATACAATTAATACAGCAGCCGCTTTATCATCAATGTAAATCGCTTTCTTAATTAAATCTGTATCAACTTTTTGTTCATCTTTATATTCGACATTTGTTACTTAATATAATATTTTCTTTTATTGAATATGCTTAATATGCATTTGTATGCATGTATATAATGCGTGTGTGTGTATAATGTAAATATATGTATGTAAATAAAATAATTATAACAGTATTTTGGAAGTGTAAAATACGAAAATATTTACAAAATATTTTTTTCTCATAAAACTTTGGTGAATAGAAAAAAATAAAAAAAACACTGGAGTAGTTTAACGAAACATGTTTAGTACCCAAAAATCGGCCATAGTGTCACAACGTGTAAGTGGTAAGATACAAACTCGTATTTTAATTAATGTTTACGTGTGTAAATTGTTTTAAGACAATTTACTGTGTACTCAGGTAATACTTGTGAAGTCAAAATGGAACCAAATTGACTGTTATCTTTATTAGTGAATTACACGATTCGGAATTGAAAATACTTTTTTGGCGACAAAAAGTATTTCATATACTTTTAAAAAGAAATTCAAGTATGGCAAAGTTATTTGTTTGTACCAACAAAAAAATACTCATACATATTTTAACAGTATCTTAGAGTTAATTTTAAACTTGTAGTTGGGAATTGTTTGTGTGAAATACATAATTATGGTATGACAAAAAACCATAAAGCAAAAGGGTTTATGAAGAAAATAGATAGTCAAATATTTGTTTCATAAAAAAGTAGAGCTTCAAATTATCATGATTTTTTTTTTTTTTGCTGAGTGTTCTGCCTGAGAGGCAAGGCTACTACTGAATCAACTCCAACGCTATTTAGCCTCGTGTGATACAAATATGTTTTTTTTAAGAAGTAAGAATGTGTATGCATTTTCTTGTGGTTTCTTTGTGTGTTAATGACTTCCATATATATATAATTCATTATATTATTCCAACGGTTAAATATGCGCACATATCAATCTGCCTCTGCTATTTGCCGCTAACAACAGACATACATAAATTTTAATTATTTAGCATATTTTTCTTTAATTATAAATTTTAATTGCAAAAATTTCACTTAAATTTCCTTTCACATATGTAGCTGTAGTTGTTAATTAAAATTTATTAAATTTAATTTGTGGCTTAACCACTATTTTCAGTTTTGTATGTATGTATGAGCTACTTGGAGCGCGTATCAGGTGGAAGGCTAAGAGCGCTCAAGGGGGAGCATAGCATGGGATCATACATATACATATATATATGTACGTAGGAGCGGATGGGGAGGTTTTGGAGAAATATGTAGTTATATGTAAATATCTAATAATCATTTTTATGTATAATATTTGTATAACTATATTTCGCTTGTATATAAATTGTAAATGTCATATTAATTATTCTTTCTATCAACTGCATTTCACATGCGTTTTTTTTTTTTTAATTTTATTTTTTGCTTTCAAATCGTAATTATATTCGTACATAGAATTCGTTTTGATAATTTATTATTAGAATTAACATTAATTTGTTAGTTTGTTACTACTTAAAATGTAAATCTCATTTCAATTTTTGGTTGCGTTCTTATAAGGGCGTCTTGACTACGGCTAGATAATAGATTTAGTTCACTTGACTTTTTAAAAGCAATCATACACGTGTGTAGCTTATTGCAAGAAATAGTATTTTCTGTATTTGTTTCTGATAAGAGGGAAATAACGACGACTTATGGAAGTGTATTCAAAGAAGACCAATGGATGGAGAAAATATATGTATGATAATTTAAATTGAATGATTGTGCAGTGGAAGATTTGCGTTAATAATATTTAAAGATGAGTGAAGTTTCCGTACTTTCTAAATTAAATAAAGTATTTTCAATTAAACATATAAAAATAAGTGTAAATGGACAAGATTTTTAGTGAGGTGTGGTGTTTAGTGAAATGAAATGTATTTCATTTGATGAAAATAGATTAGCAGAGTTCTGACGGCATTAATATTTAGTTGAAGTTTTAGCAAGACTGTCTTAATGTTAAACTAAAATAATTACAAACAAAAAGACGCAAAAACACGTGTATACAATTAAGTGAGATATTCGAGTTCAATTCAATAAAATAAATCCATTTTATTAATATATAAATGCATAAACACAGTTAAATCATGAAAATGTGTAAAAAAAAAAATCGTATTTTTTCAATATAAAATCGATAAGCCAGCTGCAAAAGCTGTATTTCGCTCCCTTAATATAGAAAGGCCTTATCTACGTCTTTTTCTTTACGGAGTGATGTAAAAACTCCATAGAAAATGAAGTCCTTTTGCTGTGAATTTCTTTTGAAGACTGTTTTTATTCTAGCATGTAACTAATTTTATTGTATTTATTTTTTAAATCTAATGGGCTTTTAGTGAGCAATCGACACACTTTTGTACAATGCTGAGTGAGACCCACTGTACTGCGATTCGAAACTCAATGCAATTCGAGAGGCGACAGAGGCTAATACAAATTCCTGGAGTCAAGTATTCGAATGATTTGCTTTTTGAATCGCAATACAGAGTAGACCTCCTGGATTTGAAAGGAAGATGAGTTAGGGGCCTTACTATGTTAGGGTAACGATTTTCATCAGTGAACTGTAAAAATAAGGAAAAATTCTAGTTATATACAATTTCGAGAAATTGTTGCCATTATTGACCAAATTACAAAAACAAAAAAAACCTAAACTGACTAAAAAGTTTTTCATGGTTTTCATATTGTTTTATCTTTTCGCACGACTAGATGCCTTTTATGTACATATGGCCGTACTTTACAGCTATATGTATGCATGTATGAATGCTTATTTTCTATTGTATAATGTATGTATAAAGTAGTCATACAAATATATATGTATATTCGCCTGTATAATTATATATAACTACCATGTATTCACTTTTATATGTATGTTGTATGTATGTATATATATGAACGTATGCATATGAGTTGCATACGCTTGCGTATATGAATGTATGCATGTATATGCTGATGCTTTTAGAATACGCATATGCATGTCATTACATGCTTTTGCTACCAATCGTTGTTTGACCAACTTTATGCTGCCACTTCGTCGCACAGCAATTCCAAATTTGTTCACTTCTTATAAAACACAATTTCAATTTATATGCAAATTAAAATGTGACATTATCATTTCATAGCTGTTCACATACATATGTAGGTATTTGTATCACTGGCCATCTATCTAAACTGTTGTACCGTAGGGATTGAAGACGGCGCGCGAACTATCGGTGTCTAGTGAAATATCTTCGGGACTCGCCAAATCAACGCGCACATTTGAGTTGGTGCGCCGACGCGCCGTTTGCGCTGCACCCCAGTTACTGAGTGTCCAATGGAAGCCAGACGATTGTGCTGGCTCCTCCGCCACCTTCACCTGCGTGCAAACCTATTGCAAGACAAATGATTTATTAAAAAAAAAAAAAACTCCACACACTCAGCCTTCAACTAACCTCGCGATTGACGCATGGCAAGGTTTCGGTGCCATTGCCTACGATGCCCGAACCGGAACCGGAATCCCGTGTGCTGCCAATGCTACTGCTGGTGGCCAGGGAGTCATTGCTCGATTCAGTCACAGCGCCACGATAGCGCGCAACTGATTGCACGGCCTGCAGCGCAAACGAAAATAAGTTCAGATAAATCAGATGTATACAAATTTATTTAAGCTTGGCAAACGTACCATCACATCACCACCCTGACAATCTTCAATCGATTTGAGGATTTCCCATACGAGCTCTGAGTCCAGCGGTATGGGGTTTTCGGTGTCACGATTATGTATGGCAATTGCAATATGCACTGGATGCGGCACAGGCAAAGGTATAAGCAGTTTTTCCGTGACACTCTTCTCATCCGATTTCTTCTTCCAGGGGCGCCAAGGCTTCAATGGTTCGGGCGTTTTCGTGTGTTGCGAGCGGTGGGCGCGCACACGCGGCGTCGTCAAGCCAACAGACATATCTCTATTGCCGCCGTGTGCAAAATTATGAATGGGTTAAAATGGTATGTTGTAACTCGTATATTCTATATTTACCGCTTCTCTGGCTTTCTAAAAGTCAGCGTGATCCTTGAACGTGGATTGAAGGCCGTCACTTCGAGGAATGGTAAATGTACTTGCACATTACCACGCGGCGCATACACGTTACCCAGTAAATCCAGTCCTTTGGAACCTATCACATCGGTAGCGTTTTGTACCATTTCTGTGTAACGTGTTAAGTCGAGCGAGGGATGCGGTTCTAGTTTAAAATGTGTATCGTTTTCAGTCAATGGCGTTAGAAAATCTAAGCTAAATATCTCGGTATACATAAGACCGGCAAGACCGGGCCAGTCGTTTACACTGAGACCCTGTGCAGAGAAAAAAAA